TTTTTTTTTTTTCTTTTTTTTTTTTTTTTTTTTTTTTTTAATAATTATATTGACTTTCAAATCGACGCTGCAACTTACCTGAACAAACTGAATGGATGAATAACATGCTTATGATTCCTCAAATGTCGACGTTTCTCCATGAGGATGGAGGAACGACTTCGTAAGTATATGTAGGCACTTGGATTTTTTTCTGAAGCCATAATTGAACGACGCAGAGCCATACGCAATTTTCGAAAGGGTCCTTTACCAGGAAGAAATAGTATTTCATTCTGCGTCATATTGATCTCACATTCATGGTCCGAGTGAAGCATTTTTCATCCAATCCCTATGATCAATTTGTATTTCAATGTTTATGAAGGTTATCTCGTGACAATTCGAAGAACGATCCTCTTTTGGTTCGGGGAGAAGTAATATGAAGAGTGAAGATCACGATATTGAATATAAATCGATATTGCAAATCACGGATGCAATAGGTAAATAATTGAATATACAGGGTTATTGAAAAATATTGTATCACCTGAAGGTCGCTCCATAGCAATCAAATGTCCGGATTTACTTCAACTTGTGTGAATGAAATTTGATTTTAAATTGAATTTGAAATTTTTACGAAGACTATACCAAAATAATATATATATATATATATATATATATATATATATATATATTTAAAAAAGAGTGTCTTGTTTTCGATAACAAATTCTCAGTTTAAAAATCTTTATTCGTTCATTTTTATCTATAGATTAAATGTCGGAAAGTTTGTCCGTCAATAAGAAATGCTATCTGCATGTATTTGTTTACTGCAAAAATATTTAATAACTTCGATCTTTCTTGGGATTCGATCAATGGAACGTGATAATATTTAAAAAATTTATGGAATATTTTAATTACTTTTTAAAATTAAATTACGAATTAATTTGGGATTATAAAAGGTTGATGGTGTAACATTTCTAGATTGGAATAAACATCTTGTATATCATGCTTTGATTATAATAAACAAATCATTCTGTTAATATTATAAGTCAATTATTATTAGGGCCATTCAATTAATTATTAATATGGAATATAATGATTCAGTATTCAGCTTAGTATTTACTACTTAATTGGAGCAATGGAATCTACTACTCCATAGAAATGTCAAAATTTCTCCCCAAACTCATAATTTTCTGTTTATTGCTTATGATTGATAGGAGTATTGGATTTCTATTAGGAATAATGATAAAACCAGAGCAAATGATTATTTGTCTTAATTATATTAAATATGTACGCAATGTTTAAAACTAATCCAATGCACTAGGTATAATCTAATTGTTCTATTCCGAATAACTACTACGCAAGTCAATTAATGCACAATATGTAAAAATTAAAATTCCCACAGTTAAATTTAAAGACAAGTACACTTTTATCTAAGCACAGAATAGTGTTTTAAGAAACATTGAGATTCACTGAAATTAAGTCTCTGTAAAATAAAAAGTGAAACATGTACAAATTACAATAAGAATTTATTTACAGTCTAATACAGTTCAAAAGAATTTGTTACGATATCGAAAACTGTGTTATATCCTATTCTGTACTTTAAATTAAATAAAAAATACGATTAGAGTTTACGTGCTGCCATCTATTTTGCAAAGTCACAAACTTTTCATACCATTTTGATCTTTTACAAGAATCTTCGATATTAAAAAAAATAAATCCTCGAATACATTTTTTCAACAATTTTTCGTATTAATTTTTCGCCTAATCGCTAAAAGTAAGAGAAATATTCGAAAATATGACATTTTTATATGTTTATCATCGTATATACGGTGAATTTCCTTCATAAATATTTTTTTCAAAATTATATGCAATGTTGTAAACTAAAGTATTCCACGAAATATCTCGGTTATTTTTTTCATATGAAATGCGAATAAAAAATTATCACGTAATTGTGTAATATCATTTTGGCCTATGTACTCTTCGTTCGTATCATCCTAGATGTCAGGACACGTTATTGCGGCATGTGTTGCCATCTAGCAGCAAGATTTACTATCGCAATCAGCACCATACATATTGCCATCAAGTACTAATACAGTAATAAGTATAGTTTCAATCTATGTCCAGCAAGATAATCAATAAATTTCAATTCTGAAGCTCAAGATAAAATCTAACGACGCTGTAGTCAGAACATAGAGTACCATATCAGCTGTGCTTGTAAAATGCAGACCGTAATTACTGAACAACCCTCATGCAACAAGTAAGGAATTGGATGTCACACCATTTATATGTGCTGTTGTATATCATTTACCCCATAATGACATGTAACGGTAAATTGTAACTGTTATATAAAAGAAAAGTTATAAGCCGATAACAGGTTATTTTAAAAAATTATATGACATTCCTGGTAATGTAGATTGTAATATAAAATAATGCGTAGTCGGTTATTATATAGGGATCAAAGTACTTATGTAATATTAAACGAGGACACTTGAGATAAATTCAGTAACATGATTTGTTTTGAACGTACAGTAGCAAAGCGTATATTTTATGGCCGGAATGGTTTTGCAGTCCTTTAAATAGCGATATCACAAATGGGAAAGATAATTTTAATGCTTCGGACATAAAAGTTATTTTGAGATAGACATGCAAGTCAATAAAATTTTGGAGAGTCATATCGCCATATATGTCGAACGTATCTGACGACTAGTAACTGTTGCTATCATCTAATTCAATAAAAATCTTTTTAAATACTTAAAAATATTTCTAATGTTAACAAATGTTTTAAAATACAAAAAATTTGAATGTGGATTTGGAAAACGGAAATAATTTCAAGTCAGAATGCACTTTCAATTTCATTAACTATTGCAAAGACGGTATCAAAATTATGTTTAACCTTGCAAAATGTGAGCTGAACTCTGCTTTGGGAAAGAATCTATGTCAAAATCCTGTTATATATGATTTTCGTTAAAAATTTACTCGCATGGTAAAGAAAAGGTTAAGAATCCCCTTAACTAGAAAAATCTTTTTAATCATAGTGTTATTTGTGCCATGTATATATTTCACGTAGTTCACCTCATCAATGAATGATATTACTTTCAAATATTATGATTGATATTCTAATATAATCCATTCATACTATTCATTTAGGTTATGATTTTTAATGGAATTTATTATATCGTAATATCAATTTATCAAATATAATTTGAATTATTGGATGCCAACGCTGCATTGCGTAATAGTCATTATCCTCAAAAAAATGCAAGTACCTTATAGGAGCTATATTACCTACATGCGCACCACGTAGTTAATCGGATGTCGGTAATCTTCGTTCTACTTTACCATTAATTCACCCGACGCTATTATTCACGCAAATACTGCCAGTGTAAAATCGTTCAACTATGTTGTTTCTAATTAAATAATAACCATACTTTTCTGGTAACCATTAACTACTTTTATGCAGTTTAAACCAAACTTACGTAGCACTATTGACGGAATATAAATAGATGAGACATGCCCATGTGTTTTGTGTCACTCGGGTCTGACTAGTAAATATATATCTCCATATAGCATTTCAATGGGCAAAGTGGATCTGCAGATGCCCACGAAACTCAAGTTCGCACAGAGATGAATGGGGAGATGCACAACACTACCGATTTAGGTGATACCAAAATCACGGCACTACATCGTAGCGGCGAGTCTGGAAGTAGAATTTTGTGATCATCGCCTCCGTC